ACTGCTCTTGCCTGGACTGTTTGTTGCTGTATAAACTAGACAAACAGGACCCACAAGAAAGTGACTGCTGAACTTACAAAACAAGACAGTAAGTACTGAAGGGTTCCTGTTGAAATGGAGAAGTGTGCCAGACACACTGTGGCCATGGGCTGAAAATGGGTGCCCCAACGTTACAGAGGAACTTTGGGTGACTGTTCAGGTAGCAGATGTCTCTGTCAATTCTAGAGTTTATATATTATCCTTCTGTGGTCTTTGATAGAATTGAAGACAGATAGTTATGGTTATAGTTTTCTACAGTTTTTATAAAACGTAAGTTATCCTTCTTTTATTTAGACAGAAAAGAGGAGATGATGGGGAATGTACTGTGTATGTTTATCTTATTGATTGTTAAATAAAATACTGTTTGGCCAATGAGACAGCAAGTTAGACGGGACTAGTTTTTATAAAACGTAAGTTATCCTTCTTTTATTTAGACAGAAAAGAGGAGATGATGGGGAATGTACTGTGTATGTTTATCTTATTGATTGTTAAATAAAATACTGTTTGGCCAATGAGACAGCAAGTTAGACGGGACTAGGAATCAAAGAGGATTCTGGGAAATGTAGTAGAGAAGTGGTGATCCAGGCAGGAAGTGACATAGCAAGGAGCCTCATATTTAAGCAAAGGAGAAACAGGAAGTTTCCCTTTCCCCTTGCTCCTCCAGTAGCACAAAGTGAACCACCAGCAAGGAGGGACGCCAATAAGGCATCCGATAAGATAAGTCTTATAAAATATATAGGGAGAATCCTAGTCATTGGCCAAGCAGCATTGTACCTAATACACGTCTCTCTGTGTATTAATTTGGGCTGTAACTCTGGTGGGAGGCTGGCATAAATCGTTTACGTGGCAGTGGGGCTCGGCAGCTTATGGCAGAAAGATTTATCGTAACATAAGAGGTCCAAGAAGGGTTTCTAGGTGACTGAGACTGAGGGTGGAGGGCTGGGTCAAGTTGTTTCTTTTCTTGAGCTGAGGTTCTAAGGAGCTTCTATGTAAAGGTTAATATACAACTATGTGGCCAGGCAAGAATGGCCTAGGATCTCATGCCAATCTCATGTCATATTCTTTGTGATAGGGCCTAGGTCTACCCTGTGTGTCTAGGATCAGGGAGTATCCCTCTATGTGTGATGGGCTCCCAAAGTCCATCCCTATGCTAGGGATAAGTAATTATCTACTATAAGAGGCCCTAGATTTCTAAGGCCTCCTCACTGACACCCACTTTGATGGGGTCTGGATCAGTTCCATGCTGGTTTCCCAGCTATCAGTCTGGGGACCAAGAGCTCCCCCTTGTTCAAGTCAGCTGTTTGTGTGGCTTTCACCAGCCTGGTCTGGAAACCTTTGCTCATCACTCCTCCTTCTCTGCAACCAGATTCCAGTTCAGTTCAGTGTTTAGCTGTGGGTGTCTGCTTCTACTTTCACCAGCTGCTGGATGAAGGCTCTAGGATGGCATATAAGTTAGTCATCAATCTCATTATCAGGGGAGGGCATTTAAGGTAGCCTCTCCACTGTTGCTTAGATTGTTAGTTGATGTCATCTTTGTAGATCTCCAGACATTTCCCTAGTTCCTGATTTCTCTTTAAACCTATAATGTCTCCCACTATTTTGGTATCTCTTATCTTGCTCTCCTCTGTTCTTCCCCCAACTCAACCTTCCTGCTCCCTCATGTCCTCCTCACCCCTCCTCTTCTCCCCTTCTCTTTCTCTTAGCTCCCTCTCCCATCCCACCATGCTCCCAATTTGCTCAGGATATCTTGTCCTTTTCCCCTTCTCTGGGGGACCAGGTATGTCTCTTTCAGAGTCCTCTTTGTTTCCTAGCTCCTCTGGCAGTGTAATAAGCTGGTAATCCTTTGCTCTATGTCTAAAATCCATATACGAGTGAGTACATACCATGTTTGACTTTTT